CTTTTTTTTTTTTTTTTTTTTGTCCACGGATTTTTTGTTTATTTTATATAAATAAATGATTCATAAATTTATACCTATAATCAATTTCATGTCAGAAAAAACAAGAATAATTCGGAAAAAGGAAAAGAAAAAAAAAAAGAAGCAAATAGTGAAGTTGTAATAAAATATTTTTTTCGCTTTGCATGATTCAAATTTGATATTCGTGATATATATTCAAGAAATTTAAATTCAAATAAGAATAATATTTTATAACAAAATTTGTATCAATTTGAATCTGTTAGCATAGATGTTCTATTTGTTAATAACAATTATATTATATAAAACTAATATATTATATGCGATATAAAATTTTATTCACATAATATACATATAAACGTATTAAATATAAATGTATTTGTGTTTATAATGATATTTGAAACCAAATTTAGGTCTACTACAATATATTTATTATTGTAAATGAAATGAAATACGAACCAAATTGAATTGTCTAGTAAATAGAAAACAAATACATATATAATATTTTCACCAACTCAAACCTGTATGTTTCAGACGGTTCTACTATTGAGACCGGTTGTTGGGCTCCGGCTGAGAGAGTAGTTGTTGGGCTCGGCCCATGAGTAAAATTGAGTCCACTTGCAGCTCCACCTCACTCCATCTCCTCCGCCTAATGGCCCTAATCCAAATCCCTCTCAAACCATTTCCACGCTCTCTCCAGGGACAGCAATGGCAGCTGCAGCTTACTCCATCTCAGCAGCAATTCGACCCGATTACACGCAATTCAAACAGGATAAGCCTTCAAATTGTACTCTCGCTCCACATCAAAATCTGAAATGTCAGTGGCTGAGCGCCATGTCCATCCCCAACAAGCTCTCGCTCCACTCTTCTAGTCTCGGGCACGTTTTCACGAAGCGCGCCTCCGTCAACGCTGTGGTTACACTCAGCCTCCCGACCTCGTAACTTCTCGTCACTTTCTTCGTTATTCATGTGCAGCAGTAGCCTGTATTTGTAATTTTGTGCGGATGTATGTTGGGCATGTTAGTTATTTTGTTGTTTTGCTGGAAGTTGCAAGATTTTCGACCTGTGGGAACTGGAAAATTTGGGGGATTTAATGTATGGACGAAATTTTCTCGCTTCTTTTACTGTGAAACATCTGATTTGCTAGCACCATAGTCTGTTAGATGTGGTAGAGTCCAATGGTCATGTGAAGGCCACTTGGAATTTGGAAATTTAGTGGTTCATGACACGAAGTGGGAGTTTTCGACTATCTTCATAAATATTGATATACATGTGAGAAATGTCAATATCATGAAATCCATTGCCTGTGATTGCAATAAATTTGATCAGACAAGCAAATTTCTGGATTGTTGGTGCAAAGTTTCTAGCTCGAGTTATGTTTAGTTGAAATCAATCCTGGATAATATTTTTGCTTGAATGTTGGTCCACTCAAATGTGATGATTGTGTGAAGTTGGATCTTTCGTTGTTCCCTGATATGATCTAAGGGGTGTTTTGAAAGAATTTGGTGTTTTCTCTTATGTTGCAGGAATCCAGAGAGGATGGCTTCCACTGAGAAAATCCCCAAGTAAATTCAAATTGGATATTTGTTCATTTTTTTCTTCTCCCATGGACTAGTGAGGTGTTGACTGTTGATAGATTGATGGAGTAGTCTGGTTCCGCATTGTTTTTTATTCTTTTATTAGGCGTCTTTGTGCTGTGATTAAAGTATTATGAATTTTGTTTGGAGTGAAACTTTAGATGGTCATCAAACGCAATAAGGTCATTTGCATTGGCTGAGGTGGAAGCAAGGAAAATCAAATGTCCAAATAGGGGCACAGAAGCTCTTCTCATGGCGATCCTGATAGAGGGTTTGGCTCTGGTTTCTCCTCCATTTTGTATATTTAGTTCCTTTTGCTGTCCTTATTCAATGCATTACCTGCCTAACTACCATTACTTTTACTACTATAGCTTGTCATTGGTCCACATGTTTCAATCTTCAATCACCAACATTGAACAAAAAGTTCAATAGTGGATGATTGATTCATTAAAACTTAAATGGAAACATGCGTTTTGCAGCCGTCTCTGTTAACAGAATGTGTAGTGGTCATCGAAAAATAGAAAAAAAAATTTAAACTTAACTCAAAAGCAATTCAAAGCAGCAAGCAGGCACATTATTTTATAACACCCGCGCTAATTCATCAGATTACTCATCATTTATCGCCATTAAGCTCCATACTGGTTGTTTTGTTAAATAATCCACTTCAATATATTCATCTCTCCCTTGTCTTCAAGTCCTCCAGTAACCCTCCTTTGTCAAGTTTTCTACTAATCTGCTTGTCCGGGCCAAGACTTTTCAATTTATGTGGATGTGGAGCTGTGAATTTTTCATTTTACCTTGTTCAAGTATTATAAGCCTTCTCTCAAACTCCACTATTGTATCAGCCCCATCCTAAGTAAAGAATTATTATCAGTTGCATCATCATCTTATCCATCATTTTTTTTTTTTNGGCAAAAAATGGTTAATCAATGCAACTTTTATTATACGGGAACACTGAACTTTGTACTTCTGCTAGGTGCTTGTTATGATTGTAGCACAAAAGTGAAAATTTGATTGCATTAAGAGCGAAGGAGAATGCATCGTTAAGCTATTAATTAAACTGATCCATTGACATAGAAAATTGCTGTTGATTTGCTTCTTCACCAAACACCATAATTGGTAGGATGTAGTAGTTAATTTATTGGCGAAAATTGACATCAATCTTATGCATCTTCTGTTACCAGGAACTAATTTTGCTTCAAAATTCTTGCGTGCGAATGGAGTTACTCTTTTTAAAGTGCGTGATGAAATTCTGAAATTGCGTGGACAACCTGATCCCTTCTTCTGTTCTTCTGAGCATCCTCCGTTAACTGAAGCTGCTCAAAGGGCTCTTGATTGGGCTATTGATGAAAAGCTCAAGTCTGGTTAGATTTTTTTGTTCTTCTGGTTTAGCTGGCTAAAACCGAGTTCCTTCAATTATCTATCATCACTTATCATGACTGCATATTTAGGTGTGCATATACTTGTTTTTTTTTTTTCCTCTTCCCTCTATGTTTGCATATGCTATTGGCTTTCTTAGGGGGCGATTGTATATAGGTTGTACAGTAAAAAAAACTAACCAAAACTCAAATTTCACTCAACTCAATTATCTCCAATATTATCAATATGATTAAATAATATCAACCAATCATTCGTACACATCACATCAACTTTAATTCACTATTCATCCAACAACAACAACAACAACATAGCCTTTTAGTCCCAAGCAAGTTGGGGTAGGCTAGAGATGAAACCCAAGAGAACCAATGGTAAGAGAAACACAAAAAGGGCTCAAAACAAAAGGAAGAGATTGGAGCAAAAGAGAAAGGAGCAATTTTAATTATTTTCTCCTACTTTTACATCAAATCAATTTTAATTATTTTATTTTAAATATTATTTTAATATATCCACTAACAACTAACCATACCACCTTTTTTCAAACTTAACTATAGTTAAAAAAAAAAAAAAAAAAAAAAAAACTAATTTTTTACTAGTTGAATTCATATCCAATCACCCCCTTAGAAAATTTTCTTGTCATATAATCTGGCTATGCCACCCAATTATAAAATAATAATACCAAAAAAAATTGCGTGAAACAAACCATTTAAATGCGCTACGTAGATAAATTATATTTAAAATTAGGTTGTTAGAACTCAAGCAGAACTAAATTAAAATTTAACTAAAGTGAAATCAAGTTTTTGAAATGAGCTAATCATGGTTCTGTTTTCTAAGTACGTATGATCCGTCATCTTCCGAACTTCTGTCAATATCTTAGTTGTGCTTTCTAAGCAATTATACCAATGCCTTTTGGGTGGGCTCAGAACATTTTTATTCTAGTACAAAAGTTATCACATAGAATATAAAAGTTGTGTCCTAGCATTTCCATGTGAATTTGTATTACTATCTCGGAATTAAGATGTCAAAGTTACCATAACGGAATGCAGGTGACGATGGGGAAACTACAACTGCCCATATTCTTCTTGGATTGTGGCAGCAAGAAGAATCAACTGGTCACAAATTATTGGCTGCATTGGGATTTGATGATGACAAAGCGAAAGAGCTTCATTCTTTAATATCCAAACCAGGATTTGTAGAGGATTCATAATTTCTCAGCGTTTACCTACCAGTTTGCTTTTGCCATTTTCTTTTCAACCGAGATGGGAATACATGTGGTAATTCTCTTGTTTAAGTTGCTTCTTATTTAAATGGCAAAGTGAAAATTGTATTTAGCTACTCCATGTGTTTGCTCAGGAGTTTCTTGGTCGGTTGGTTTTATGGTAAACACTTTATGTGGGCCGTACTTGCTTGTCGAGATGCAGTGCGGTTTGGTTCGCTTCAAAATGATACAATCATGTGCTGTAAACTGTAATACACTTGAATCCAACTATTTCGAATTCAAGTCCAGTTGATGTGAGAGCAGTGTAAGGGGGACCTCGATCTTTATTTCTTTATTACATGTTTGTTTTTTTGTTTTTTTTTTTCCTTTTTTTTAAGCAAAAAACTGTAATTGGAGGAGAGTAAGTAGCACTGACAGATCATGTGGATTGGGAGCAATTGGTATCGTTTTCTGGGTCTCATCTTTAATTTCTGTAGATTGGCTAATTGGTTTACCTTGAATTTTTGTAGATCGGCTAACTGGTTTAGTTCCCGAAAAATTTCTCAAATTCAAATAACCCCTGAATTCTAATTTTTATGACTGAATACTTGTGTTTGAAATGATTTGCATATAAAAAAATGCAATCACCTTTCAATTAATTACTATTCGTCTAATATTTTTTCTATTTCAGTATGTTTGACTTTGTTTGACCTTACCAGATGTGAGTTTGTTTCATTAGTTAGTTGGATAGCTTGGCTTCATTTGGCATTTAACAAATAGTTGATAGCTAAATGAACTGATTAATAGCTTGATAGCTGAATGGATTGATTGATAGCTGGTTTAATTAGCTAGTTGGATAGCTTGACTTCATTTGGCATATAACGAATAGTTGATAGCTGAATTGACTGACTGTGAACGGACGTAATTTCAAGTAGTTGAGACCCATCAATCACAAACTCAGGTTGCCCACAAGAGTATCGACCTTCAACATTCAGGTTGTCTGCGGGTCTCTTGTCTGCGTGAGACCCGACCAACATTCAGGTTAACGAGGATGTTGAGAACCAAGAAACTTTGAAGAAACCGTCTTCCAATTCAATTCAACGTCCATAGGAAGCAACTCAAGCGTCAACACTTGTGCCATTTGTATACAATCAGCAACGAGTTCTTCATACTGGAGTCCTACTCCTTAGGATCAAGATTGTAATAGTTTGGCAAATGCTTGACTTTGTCTTTACTTAATTCGACTTGAGCTTGACTCTGCAGCATTTCTCAACATATAGGCGAATGAGCTAGATAATGCATGTGATTTAGTTATGTACAAAATAACATTCACAAGCTCAATTGAAGAATATTTATACTTGTGAATTTTTTGTTTTGTAAACAAACCTTGAAATAGCTCTTAGTGATGCATAATTTTGAACTCAAATGGTTGTATATGAATGTTGATGGGCCTGGTGATCAACCACCTTGCTTAACTAATTTCAATTTTAAAGCCGCTTTCTTCCAGAACACTTCAACTTTGACAACTCTTGAAGCTTTTAACTTCCATCAATCTGAATTTTTTCACTCTTAATTTTCAACTTCTGTTACTCATGCTACAATTAATCACTTTCTCTAAAGCAAGAGTAGTTGTAAGGTCCTTAAGTGCTACTGCAAATAACAAGCATGAAATAGGGTGACTACAAAAGGTTATTAATACTGTGAGCCAGAGAACAAGTATCAATAGCATCAATAAGCGTACGAGGTACCTTCCGCTGCAGGATTAGCACTTACTTGAAGAGTAGTTATACGAACATCAGCATCTCCTTATTTGAGTATTGATGATATTTGTGCGAAAACGAAATAAGATTAGAGTTATATAAACTAAATGAACAATATTAAATGTAAGTTTAAATTTACACCACCTTGCTTTAAAGCTTTCTCTCCATCTGAGCTGTTGTTGCTCGACCTTGAGCACTCGCCACCTCAACCAAGTGAAAGACCAAAATGTTTCCACAACGAATATATCAAAGAAAAATTGAGCTCCACAGCACCATTCACAACCTAAAATGACGAGGAAGATTGCCATTTATACTCATCATCCTCAGAATCTCCTGAGCAAATCCCTGATTACCAGTCAGCATAAGTCCATTCAGCACCCGATTGAAAATAAACTTACGCGGCAAAAACCCACGATCGACCATTTCCACCAACAATTTCCCAGCAGTCACCAAGTCCTCTGACTTCTTCCTCACGAACATCGCACCAATCAGAATATTGTAAGTATCCAAATTCGGCAAACAAGATCCACCACCATTCATCCTATCCAACACTTCCAAAGCTTTCTCAATTTCCCCATCATCACAATAGTACCGAATAACCACATTAAACGTCTGAATGTTTGGATCACAATCACAGACCATCTTCTCCATATACTCAACAGCTGTATCCATTTTTCCCGCATGGCAAAGCCCATGAATTACAACATTATACGTAGTTGCATTCGGCGTGTAGCCTTTTCTCAACATCTCCTCAAACATCACAACAGCATTTTCCACACAGTCCTTCTTGCACAGTACCTGAATCAGGGCATTGTAAGTGGCGACAGAAGGGAGCACACCAGCTTCACACATCTCATCAAATACCTTTTTCGACCTTTCCACCTCACCCGAAATGCCAAGTCCGTGAACCACAGTCGTGTAGCTCACGACATCAATTTCTACCTTTCTCCTTTTCATCTGCAAGAAAAATTCCCACCCTTCTTTGATCTGCCCTGCCCCAAAATAACCCTTGAGCAGTGTATTATACGTGGTCAGGGTTGGCTCCAAACCCCTCTCGACCATCTCCTTCACGACTTCCAAGGCGCGTGGGGTCTGCTTCTTTAGGCAGAACCCATTTGCAATGATGTTGTAGCTGATCACGTCAGCCCTAAACCTCCCCCGGAAGATCTTGAACAGCCGGTAAGCCATTTCTGCCCTTTTTGACTTGCAGAGAACGTCGAGGAAGGTGTTGAACGAGTTCAGATCTTGCTGGCAGCCGTGCTCGTGCATGGACAGGAACACCTTGACGGCCTTGTCGGCTTTTCCGGCGGAAACGTACCGCTCGGTGATTATGGCGAAGGTTTTGGGGGAGGGGCCCAATTTCATGGACCGCATTCGGCTCACGAGGGCCCACGCGGACTTGTAGTCCCGCAATCGGGCGGCGATGTCGATGGCGTGGTCGAAGGCGGCGGCGGAGTGGCAGTGCGGGGAGTGGTGCCGGTCGAGGAGGTCGAAGAATTGGAGGGCTTTGGGGCCATGGTTCCAGAGACGTTTGAGGACTGTCTCGACTAGGTTAGGGTTCCACTTGTGGATGGAACTGAGGGTTTGGGCAAGGGATTCCGGATCGCCGGAGTTGAGTATCGATTTGGCAACTGCGGCGGGGTCTGGCTGCGGCGGAGGAGGGGAAGTGGGCGGCGGCGTTTTGAGTGAGATTTTGAGGTTCTTCTTGGCTAGGTTCATCTAAGGGTAAGGGCTTCAATTTGCAGCTCAATTGGCGAAATTCATCAAACAAAAGTTTTTTTGTAGATTAGAAGTGAATTAAAAAAAAGTACTGATGCATAATTTGATATTTAATTAAAAAGAAAAATATCATTCACTATAATTAATGAGTTCTTTTATGTTGAAAAAAAATATTATATACGAGTCATTAAAATAAAAAGGGTTGGTTGTCTAATAAAAAATAGAAAACATTATGTAGAAAGTAATTAATTACCACTTGGCGCGAATATACTTTTTCGAACTTACTAAAATTTTAAGAATTTGTGTGTATTTAGTTTAATTTTGTTTAATTTTTCAGAAATTCAGAGGTATATAATTAAAAGTTGGAAAGACATTTTAGAAGTATATACAACTGTTGTTGAAGATACTATTGTGGCATGTTAAGAAAACATAAAACATTATGATCTCTTTCAAAATATATTATTTATCTTAGACTTGCAATGATTAGAAAAGACGAGATATGTATACAAATTCTTTTACCAAATCCCAGAATGCTAATTCCATGCCAAAATCTTAATTTTATATTCAAGATTCAAGAATTCCAGTTAAAACATTAGCTCAATAAAGCTTCATAAAACATAGAGTGACAGACACAACAAAGCGAGTAAACTTATACTTTGGTGAAATGCACTACTAAATAAGATTATACTTAGAAATTTACACACCATTCCTAAGGTTCCACAAACATATGTTTACAGCTGTGTTTCTACACATCTATGTACAACTTGCAAACAAATCGATGATTAAAAAATAATGGTTAAAATCTCAAAACTAGATATAAATATAGAGCAGTCATAAAATCCCAATCAAGTAATTTCAACATTTTATATGCAAAATCCAATCTCATCAGCCTAAGTCATCTACATTCTTCTGCATCCCCATTACCATGGCCGATCTCCGTAAATTTAATGAGGATTGATTCTTAGCTTCCTCAACTCTGCCTGGAAGCTAGAGTTCGTCTTTAGTATCCGTTGCGCAAGAGTTCTTATATCCTCACGTGAGCAATCTCGGGATATACGCACGAGCTCCCACAAGGCGCCTCCAACAATCATTTCTTTTGCATTAATCTCTGTTAACAAAGTAATTCTTGCATTTCAGATTATTTTTTATCTGAGTATTAAGTAAATGTCGAACGAAATAAAGTTTGTTTACCATGTTGACCCAAATGGCAAAGTGCCAGCTCAATGTGACGCCTGATTGGTGAGGCTTCGTTGTTAGCATTCTGCACGATCCAAGGAAGGACACCATCTTCAATTAGGACCGATCTCCCGCTTCTTGTCCCTGTGGCAGCAAATAAACAGTCTAACGTATAATTAAGCTGTAATGTTTAAGACACAGCGAAGAACATATCTATCTGAGTGCCATAAAAATCTAGCTGAAATCTCGTTTCACTCACGATGAATCAGTAAATAAGGACGAACCAGAAGAAACAAGCTCGATCAATAAAGATAGGTAAAAGTGGTTTAGGTCTAGCGAGTATAGACATGGATAGAGATTAGGATTAGACATTAACGCATTCAAATTTTTTCATTTATTAGAATTTATAATTAGTTACATAAATTTTTGGAGTTTATTTCTTGTGCACCAAGTTTATGTTTTAGTATAAATAGATAGCAAATTATTATTGCAATGGTAGTCATGTGTTTGTTGTTTGTTTGTTCATTCGTTGAGCTCGGCATACTTTTTCAGACACTTCAACAATTAAGAGAGAAAGCAAGTTTCTAAGAGAAACTTTGGTTTTTGCTCAGACAACTCAAAAAATTTAGCTCAAATAAATAAGCACCAAAAGAATATTATATGACATATTATGGAATGAGTCACGTATAAATATTTCCCGTGTGAGGAAGCCAACTAGGAGAGCCTGAGTACTTCACCTTGAGTGGATGCTCTAGACTCGCATTTTGCAAAGTTTGCGATCCCACGAGCCACCTGGGCAAGAACATCTGGATGTCGGCATCTGACCATTGCCAGCAGGGCCTTAATACCACCTTCAGCTCTTAGTTCAGCAAGCAACTTGTCTAAAGGAAAACCAGAGGTCAGTAACACTGCTTATCGACACTAGAAATCAAAACTACATAAGAATAGAGAATCAACTGGGGCAACATCATATAGACATAATAGGTAATGACAAAAAGGTGGGGCTGTAAATGATTCTTCTGGGGAAGGCCAAAAAACAATTTCCAAAAAACTTAATTATGTAGCCATCCCTCTGAGATGATATCGTCCCTAAGAGCAATAGTGTACTGAGAACTGATTACTGAGGCCGGCAGAAAGAGAGATAAGATTACTTACCATTGCCACAAAGATTAGCAATAGCTCCAGCAACCATGCGGAGGGTCTGTGGATCCTCTGCCTTGGCTGCTATCACCGACAACAAACTTATGCCTCCTTGACACATGATGAGCTCCTGGTTTGTCTCTGCCATCACCAAAATATACGCAGGTGAAAAACTAAGGGTGTGTTTGTATACAAATATATCCGCTCAAAACAAGTCTTTTTGGTTAACCATGGTTAATTTTGAAAAAGTTGGTACGGTTAGTTGTTAGTGGGATTTTGAGTTTATATTAAAATAATATTTAAAATAAAATAATTAAAGTTAATTTGATGTAAAAGTATGAGAGTGATGATGTGAAGTGATAGATAGTTAAAATTATGTGAGCGGGGATGTATAGTGAATTAAAGTTAATGTGATATATAAGAATGATTGGTTGGTATTATTTAGTTATTTTGATAATATTGAGGATAGTGGGGTTGGGTTAAAGTTGAGTTAGATTTTGAGTATGAGTTCAAATAATTGATAAACAAACACACCCTAAGTTTACAATTGATATCTCATGTACACAGATGTAAATTTACCGTTCATTGCGAGATTTGCTATGGCCCCAGCTGCAACTCGATGAATAGTCTCATCATTTGAACTTTTAAAGAGAGCAAGCAAGCATGTCAGCCCGCCAGCTTCAACAATCCTTTCCTGGTTTGACTCTGAAGATTAAGACAAGATATTAAGTAAATTTTCAGGCGCATTAGGGAGAAGAGAAGTGGACATTTGAGTAGACCAATGCATGACATGTTATATTCATGAATTCAGCGAATTCATGATCTGTTGGAAAGAGGACAAGAACCATTCGTAGTTACTGAAAAATCAAACAAACAAGTGTTGGGACAGACAAGGAGGTTAGCTCAAGAATGTAAATAAGAAACGACAAATAACCAGCTTCATCTATTGAGGTTCACAACTGCACGAATTTTACTGATGAATCATATGCCATTTTATAGTGTGACTGGACAGAACTTTAATGGTTGTTATCACACAAATATTGCGACAACCACTTAAGTGGCTACGTTCGTTTGGGAGTGCCTGCAAACACTCTGATGAAATATACAAACAACAAAAAGGGGAAAAAATGATGTTTTGAACTTTTAGCTGAAAAAATATATATTTCAATATTTGCAAATGCCAGCTTTTATTTTTCTTTCTGCTTCATTTAATTCAAAATCCAAAAAGGTATGGGGTTTTTTTTTATAATGTTATACTAAAATTTATATCATAATCCACCCAATGTAGCATATATCACTCAAAGGTGGATGCTTTTGCTTTTTTATCCAAAAGCTTAAGTCTGAACGGCTATTTTCCAGAACAATTAAACTTTCACTTACTTCAGCTTTCAAGCTTCAAGTTGCAATTATTACCCACTTGGTTTTCGTCTACTCTATTTCTTACTTCAAAATCATGTAGAGTAAGAGGAGGAGAAGGAACAGAAACATAGGAAACAATAAATTTTAAAACAATTTGGCCATACCTTCTGCTGCCAGATTAGCAACTACTTTAACAGCATGAATGCGTACATCAGCATCTTCAGATTCAAGTAATGATAGTATTTTGTGCAGCCCCACTGTTACAGCATGGTGTATTCCAGCACACAAGATTAGAGTAATAGAACTGCAAATAACTATAATCAGAGTAATTTCAAAAAGGTACAGTCCACCACCTTGTTCAAATAGTTTAACCATTGAAGAGCTCTCTCCATCTCCTGACTCTCGATGCTGTTGATTTTTTGTCTGGGGAATTGGAAAGTCCAGGGAGCTTGGTACATTTCCACTTACACCCCTATCAAGATTTCTTCGTGACTACAAATTTGTAAAATTAGAAAATTGATCATTCCTCACATGCAAATATTGGATGCACATGCCTTTTCCTTTGGAAGATTAAATTCGTTTGGAAATTATACTATGTATTGAACTTGAATCTTGCTAGAGCAGTTACTGCAATATTATTGTTTCTCTTAATAATACTCCAGAATCAAGAACAAAGGAACGCTATGCTGTCATTTCATCCCAAAAAATCAAATTCTTGTAACAATTATGGGTGAAACCAACTCATCCCTCCTCTCATAAAGAGGAGGAACTGCCACATGGTGACATAAATCCTGTATCTTACATATGTCTTCTTAAGAAAACATAACTATCAGGGTTTTTCTTCTAAATCAATAATGCAGGATTCCAGAAAATTAGTCTTATACACTATCTCCCACCCCCAAATAAAAGAGAAAAAAGAAGACTGAAAAGCACTGACAAGGAAAAAGAGCATTGGTTATCATTTAGTAACTTTTCTAAGGATTACATATGGAATGGTTAAGGCACTGGCCAATAAACAAAAAATGTCAACCAAAATTCCCAAGGCCACAAGGTTCATTCAGCAACTAGAAGTTTCAGGGGCTCCAAATCTTTTGATTCCCCAAACCCAGAGCCAAAGAGAGCAAAAAATATTGTGAATGAAAAAAAAAAAAAGAAAAAAGAGAGAAAGAAATGAACAACACTACCGGAAAATATGCGAGACATTGGCAAGCGGAGAACAGTTAAAAGAAGCTTCAACAAGGTAGAAAATTGGAATGGACACACATCTCATAAATAATATGTTCGACAAATGGAATCCTTGGATCCAGATTATAGTATATTCGTCTGAAAAAATCACATTGAAGTCTGTTAAGACCTGCTCACCTCATCTGCTTCGAAACTAATCTGCAATAGCTGACTTTGAAGCATTTGGATTTCTTCTTCAAGTTTTGCCTTTTGAAGTTCTTCATCTTCAAGCATCTCACGGAGCTTCAAGATTTCAGCACTTCTGGCAGCCTAATTGCACAACTAACTGCTATTAGCGTCAGTTAAAGCTTAGCAAGGAAAATCTGTATGAAAAAAATAAATCAGTGCAACAAACACCTCAGATGTTTTCCAGTGACTTAATTGATTTTCAAGATTATGAACTTGGGCTTCTGCAGCTTTGCGTAAAAGAATTTCATTCTGAAGCTTCTTTTTAATCTCAGCAACTTCGCCAGAGGCAAATAGCATTGGAGGCTGCAGAGCAATGTAATTCAGCCCTAGTATGTTAAGATGTGATAGAGAAAGTTTGTGAAATGCAACTGCCTGAAATAACCATCACAGTACTATTTCACACAAATAAGGAAAGATGAGCAAGATGCGCTTATAAAAAGGCAAGAAGATTATCACAACTGATTTATGCATACACAATTCCTAGGATACAGAAGTTCTGAGGTTGTCGTGCTCACTAATGCCTTACGGGGATAAGAGTTGAAAGGTCAGTGAAAATAACAATCTAAAACATCAAAGAGAGAAGACAAATAGAATAATACAAACTACTTAGTTTCCAACTCAAAGATGTATTTTGCTAAATTAACCCGAACTTCCCCATGCACAACGCTCAATAATGCGACAACTACTAGTTGTGAGCTTAAAACAATTTAATTTGTCAATAGAGTATAGAACACCAACAAAGCAACAATACTCATGGTAAAGGAAGTACGAAAAATTACAAAACTAATACTCAAATTATATCATTAGATATATTAGCAAAGAAACTTCACACTTTTAATTTCGGTAAAAAATTAAGGCCTTCATTTAGTGTCTGGGAGAAATATATAAATTTTTTGCTGAAGAATTGATTTTGTGCCAATGTACGATTGCATGTGATTCAACCACTATTTTACCATCACATCAATTTTCATCATCATAACCTTTTACCTTAATCCAATTCACACAACCTGAAATTCGAGTTTATTTTCAGTATTCTCTAAGAAGGAGCAGAACGAAAGCCAAACAATCACATTCCTAATAGAGTAACAAAATGCTTATTATAAGTTGAATTTGTAAACCAAGCATGTACCCCAAACATAAATTAGGCATAAGGAAGTCTATAGTTATGATGCTATAAGAAAGATCAAATAAACAAGCTTAGTTTGTTTAGAATATTGATTCCTTTGCTCTTTGAAACTCATCATTGAAAAGGGTTTGATATTTGTGAAGGACCTAAATATCAATAAGGTATAATGAAGTTCATAGTTTTGATTGTTAAAAGAAAGATAAAATGAACAGGCTTAGTTTGTTTACAATACTGATTCCTCCGCTCTTTGAAACTCATCATCATTAGAAGGGGCTTAATGAGTGCAGAAACATTAGTGAAGGACCTAAATTTTGTTGCTTAATGCCAGGGTATGGTATTGTGGTGATAGTTATAACATCGCCCACTTGATATATTAGCAAAGAGTAGCAGAGTAACAAACTAGCAGCATACCTCCAACCTTGATTTTGGGTCCATTCCATCATTAAATGACTCAACTTTGACTTGTCTATGTCCATGCATTTTTTCCTTTGCCGTCCATTCTTCCTCCAGCTTCTTCACAGATTCCATACACTCTTTCTGACACTTCAATTTTTCCTTCTGAGAAAAATAAAAACAGATGAAGTATGGGAAACACAGACCTTTTCCCCCAGAGAGAGTACACAGATCACATTTGGACAGGATATATTTTAAATACATGGTAACATATTTGGAAAAAAAATATTAGTAATTTGCCTCCAGAATCTCACTCACATACTGCCTTACGTACCTCCAAGGCATCGCCATAATTCTGTTCCACTTCAGAAACGCGCCTTTCTGCTTCCAAAGCTATTCTTTCAATCTCAACTTGAAAAGCATTCTGTTGCCTTTCATGTTCAGCAATTAGTTTGTCCAATTCCATTTCAAGGCGCCTTGATAAACTTTTGTAATCGAATTCTTCTTTAATCTTTACCATATTCTCCACCTTCATGGCCTTAAAAATTACAATAACAACAACAAAAGCAACATTAATAAGAAAAATATAAATACAATAATACCTAGAGTACCACCAGCCCCAGTTCACGCTCAATAATTACTCTCACTCATATTTTCAACATAAGTTCTTTTCAAAGTCCCATAGCCATTTTTCAACCAACTGATATCAACCAGAAATAGGTGGCTACCATAATTGTCAGCAAATGTTACCTGACAATATAAAAGGTTAGAAATAGCCCGATAAGTCTTATATATCTATTCTGTGTATCCCATAAAAATAGGACACGTTAATATCTAGGCGCCAAAAAGATATGTTTGTTAATATATTTTGGTTGTGTGAATTTTTTGTTTCTCTGTTTTTAACCTAGACCAACTGTTAGGAAAACCAGTATAGAATGAACAAAAATCAAGCATAGGGACAAAGTGAGATATCAAATATTTTAACTATACTAACCAAAATACATTCTTTGCCTAAAGTAAAGAGAAGAGGACGTGCCCATTTCTCGATTTGTCTTAAATAAACTGTGGTCCGTCTTTCTGGGACAGACGAGTGATACTCAATTTCTGAAAAGAAAGAAACACTGAATTTACCCGTTGTCCAAACATGATGGTGCTAGATGTCTCTCCTCGGTGGCGTGGTGATGGCCCAATAGTTATGATCAATGAGGTTCTCGCTGTACCTGAGATATGAACATTGCATAGGCTGTTATCAGTCAAGTCAGGCCAATTTACTCTCCTCAGAATTGTTTCTCGATCACTCGACGAAAATAAAGTAGACAGCCATAACAAAAATATGATATTACAATTATTTACGAACATCAAGCATTTATTTGCATCAGCTTCATGTAAGAAAATCTATGAGTGGACCAGATAACCTGATTATGCCTTATTATCTTGATATATCCCTACATACACAAGATTATAAAGGTGAGATCATTGAGGAGGCTAGTGATTTGATTATTAATTAAAATTTCATTTCCTTCACTGATTTGATTGACCATTCAAGATTCCTTTCCTCTTGGAGTTAGTTTTGAGACATTTCTACTTAAAAATGCTCATTTGCAGCATGATTTTGTGTTAGCAGCCTCATTTAATGCAAATTATCACCTCCAAAAGAATCCCGAAGCAATCTTGTCAGTTTTGAATCTCGAACGGGAACATGGGCACTATTCTCAGCCAATGCATTGATACACTTCCCTAGCGCACTCAAAGAGAGATTGATAGACTTAGCCTCATCCAGTGTATGACCTTCACTCCCTGCCGGATGGAGACAAATGATTATCAAAGTAGATAACAAAAAGATTACATACTGAATCATAAATATGCCAAAGTCTCATCTTCTTTTAAAGCTTCCAAGAAAGACAACCACAATAAATGAATGCAAACTATGATGTGTTCCTGAGAATATAAAGACAAAAGATAGATTCGCACAATTTGTATGCAATAATAAGAGATAGAGATTGGTGAATCCACCTTCCAATTATTAAGAATTGAAGCAAGTACAGGTTTACATGGGAAACAGAGAGGCCAAGGCCCATTCGACAAATAGGTTTACCCTTTTAAGTTTTAAGTGATTAGAAATTGGTAATTGGATAAAATGTGCATATGAGACTCTGCTATACGATTCCAAATCCCAAAGAAATGGATCTATAATATTTCAAACGCTCATGTTTTGTGTGACAGAGTCCGAAATCAGCGAGTCCCGTCATAAAATATCACTTACATGGTCAACCCATCTGTTCAAATAACTCGGTGAATGTACCAAGAGCATCATATAATATGTAGGATGCATTTTAAGATGCACAAGACCATGTGCATGCATAACAACCCTGCTTGCTTTAAAAAACATAAAGAATTTATACAATTTCAAGATTGGGCAACCGAACACAGACATTGCCTACAAAATCAGAGGAATACCAGACTTGTCAATACGCTCAGAGCCAGCGAGGTCCACAATAACTAGCTTGCTTTTTCGTACAATGGGAGGCTTCAGTGTTTTGCCCGTTACAGTCATGTTTCCATTTTCACTTGGAAATGATGATTTTTTCCCCTTGGCAGACCTCTTTATATGCACCTGCAACGAAACAGAAATCAGAATATCAAAATATACACAATCAATACAATGACCTTCCAACATCAAGCAAAAAAACAAGATCAGATATAGAAAGGCGTTAAATTCACCATCAGAATGGCATGACTACGTGAGGATTCCGTATTTAATTTTGTGTTCGCAGCAAAACGATGAGCTTCCCCTAATTGCAGTAATTCCACAAAACTTTTATGATCCCTAATTTCTACCACAGTCGCGCCAGGTAGAGAAACATCTCCACTTTTGGGATCTTCCACAATAGATATGTTATCATTAGCTGGATTAAGGAGGTCCTGTACCGTTTCCATGTAAAGCTGCAGTAATACATACAGAAAATCAATGCTCTAAGATGCTTTATGTAAACCATAAAACTGCTGAACTGAACAAAACTCATGAGCAATTTTCTAACAAATCTAGTATATTGCGCATTCAAAAGGAGTCAATTAGTCATAGTTAACAGAACCTGAAAATAAGAAACGCAGACTACATCACTCTCGGGCGATATTTCTGCCAATATATCCTCCATTGCACGCAGCATTATTCCACGATCAGCAGCATCCTTTTCTCCTAGCCGTCCTAGCGTGTAGGTCTTTCCTGTACCAGTCTGCCCATATGCCATCACAGTTCCATTGTAGCCATCTAAAACACTCTGCAGAAGGACAAATGGACTTCATAAATTCTTTCAGAGAATATTGGCATACTCTAAGGTTTAGGGTGTTTACTTTCAAGAATATCAGTGAGCGAGGGAAAAAACAAACAAAAAGCTCTAATATTGTAAAAAAAAAAAAATATTTGTTGTATGCTTGCATTAGCTGATGCTTAGAGAGGGAAAATTTATAAAAGATCTCAGGCGTAGCAATTATCTGAAACATAACTCCTAGGCTACGCAATTGAGCTAGAACAACTCTGTACATTGCAATTATCCTTGATTACTATAAAAGTAACTTATAAATTTCATGTGAAAACCAGCTTACTTCTTATGCGCCTTACAAGAAAATATTTGTGTGATACTTTTTCTAGTACAACAAGAACAATGAAAAATTTCTGAGAACCAGCAATTAAGTCAAGCTAACCTCATTGTTCTAGTACAACAACATCGATGGANGAAAAAAAAAAAAAAAAAAATGAGAACCAGCAATAAGTCAAGCTAACCTCAACCACGGGTTTTGCTACGACTTCATAAACACGCTTTTGTGAAGCAAACTCTGTTAAAACTTCATCAAATTCGTACGTATCAGAATCCCAATTATTTCTCCTGAGCTTCAACCGTTTAAGCTGAAATAACGTAAAGAAAATCACAATGAGATTTTCAAGTCTACAATTCTCACTACACTGCCATTTCCAATTTCAATATCCCATTTTCCAGAGCAATAAAAGTCCTAAAATTGGTAGCCTGAGGATTGTCAGATAAGCATTAAATAGAATTGACAGCAGTACACGATTATACCTCCGGTTGCAATTCCACGCAATCAGCAAAATCAGCATCTGCCACCATCTCTTCTGAATTCGGAGGCCTCAATCTGACAGCAACTCTCACCCTCCCAGACACTACATTGCAGAATGCAATGTTCAGCATGCAATTAGTTTCCATTCCTTTTCAGGAATATTCTAACCACCAAATGGACAATTGATCATCTTTCTTAGAACCCATCGCAGAACTTTCACTTGAGTGTAAATAAGCACAAACAAACAAAAATTCCACTAATAATACACTTCAATGTCTTACCACCATACCACTGCCATAACCCAATGCAAATAAAATCAATTTCAACAGACGATCAATGAGCATTACAACAAAATCAAACGACCAGAAAGGTAAAAGGGTTTCAACCACGCCTAACACATGAAATTCAACACTAAATCCTCAGACTATTCGAACACACAATCGAACATCACGCTTATGAAACATTCACCACAAACTTTAACCCAACAACCATAAACATCTAAATTCAGGCTATAAATTACCGGCAGAAGCATCCCGGCTCGAGCCGGAGCTAGTCCGGCGAGAAGTCGCCGCCGATTGCTGCACCTTTGACTTGACGGAAGCCGAAGAGTGTCTAGAATTATGATTCTCAAACTTGGAAGTTCCTCCTCCTCCTCTTGACATGCTGCCGCCATTTCTGAAGCTGTTGGTCGACATTTTTCCCTCTTTTGCTATTCGTTTGCTCTTCACATCACTTTTCCGTACTTGTGAAGAAAGTGATCAGAGGAGTTCGAAATTTGGAAGAAAAAGAAAAAAGAAAAAAAAATGGCCGTCTTTTCGAAGTCTTTTCCACAGTTGAAAAAATGAACTGAAAAAAAGGTTGGAAAAGGGGACGTGGTGGGACCAAAATGAATTATTATGTGTTTACCACTTTAAAATATTTAATCCGGGAAAAATATTTAAATTTTAAAATCCATTTTGAGATTTTTTTTTTCCATCTTGAATTTTTTTCACTTTTTTTTTTCAATTTTAGAAAAATAATTATAAAACTTTGTACTTTTTAACACATATTTTCACTTTTTTCTCCCACAAAATCAAATGATTTTTTTTCTAAATAGTATCATTCAATCTCCAATTACTTTTACTTTTAAATTTTAAATTTCATTTTGAGATATTTTCCATCTTGAGAAATTTCTGCTGATTTTTCAGAAAGGTAATTATAAAACTTTGTAATATTTTTCACTTATTTTCATTCTTTCTTCCCACAAAATCTAATGAACTTTTTTTTTTCTAATAAATGTGTCATTCAATGTGCAATTACTTTTATATTTATAATTTAAATTTCCTTTTGAGATATTTACCTTCTTGAGAATTTTTTTGTGAATTTTTAAATAAAATAATTATGAAATTTTGCATTTTACACTTACTTCCATTTTTTTCTCCCACAAATCAAATGAACCTTCTTTTTTAAATAGTGCCATTCAATCTTTTTGAGATTTTTTCCATCTTGAGATTTTTTGGTGAGATTTAAGAAAAAAGAAATATATAATTTTGTACTTTACATTTATTTTCATTATTTTTCTCCCACAAAATCATATGAACATTTTTGTATAGTGTCATTATCCAATCTCCAATTACTTAAATTTCGTTTTGAGATTTTTTCCCATCTTGAGATTTTTATTTTTATTTATTTATTTATTTATTTATTTTTTGTGAATTCTTACAAAAATAATTATGAAACTTTGTACTAGACACTTATCTTCAAATTTTCTCGCAAGAAATCACACTAACTTTTTTGTTTTCCAAATATGGTCATTCAATCTCCAATTACTTTCATTTCTAAAAATCACCATTTGCTTAGCCATAATATTGTGGTTGTGAATTAATATTTTATTATATTGCTGTTAGATATAAGTGTAACTCAAAATAAAATGAGAAATTAAAAACAAATAAATTGTGAATAAATTGCTGATAATGGTGCAAATTATTTGGATGTGGTCCTTTGAATTTATGTATTCTTAATATTAAATTAGTATGTAGCCCGTGCGATGCACGGGTAAATAATATTAAATAATAATTATAAATTGACGATATAGGTATATACTATATATATACGTTTAGAATTTTGAGTGCCACTTTGAGATTTTTTAAGATTTGAGACTTTTAAGATGATTAAATTTAGAGGAATACTATGAATCTTAAGTGTGAGCGTAAGATTTAGAGTGAAATTTTGTATAATGTTTTTTTCTTTTAAATCATAACTAATCTTAAAAAGACCTAACTTCTCAAATAAGTTAAATATTTAAGGTTATTTTAAGATTTTTTTTTTAATTTTTGTATATCAAAGATGAACCGCTTTTGTTACCAAAAAATGTGGACACAATTTTGAATGTATATCCCGTCCAAATATCAATTTTATTCTAAAATAAAAATTGCACGTGGTTTTATCTAATTTACACACTTTTTTTTGAAAAAAAAAATTATTCAATAAGATTGGAAGAATTGTTAAGAATTATACAACTATTTGTTTCCAAAATTTGTACCTAATTTGTACGGTTTTTAAGTTAATTTGTATTTAGAATTGTTTTCATAAATAATTGACATATTTTTTGCATAAGAATCTCCAAATTTGTTACCAAAAAATATATGATTTAAATTTTGGTAAAAATAAAAATAAAATATGATACGAAAAAAATGGAATTCAAATTTTGCCATAAGAATCTCCAAATTAGTTACCAAAAAAATAGGATTCAGATTTTGTTACTAAAGATTCACATGTATTTTTTTGAACTTTCCATTAATAGTAAGTCAAACATTATATTTATTTGGTCAAACTTTCTATTAATGTATTTTTCCAATAACCTCTTTATATATACTAGTACGTACCCCGTGCGATACACGGGAGAGAGATATTAAATGAATTATTTTCAGAGGCTCTGTCCGTTTAAGTCTGAGAAGATCATCCATTTTCCACCTCTTTTAACACTGTTAAGTCCCGTTTAAGTTTGAAAATGGTTATCATCTATTTTCCACCTCTTTTAATCACCGTTAAGTTTAAAAAAATAAGATTATAATCTATTTTTCACATCTTTTAATCAGCGTTGTTTTATTAGTCAGAACATTAAACGTGAGCATGTTAGGGCTAACTTGTAAAATAATTAATATATTATCTCACTAACACATTTATACTAATATAAATTTAATTTTATTATATATATTTATTCCTTGATATAAGAGAAAATAACAATTTTACTTATTCTTATTCACTATATAATACTTAATTATTATTTTACTATAAAATTCTGCTGCCATATAATGTCATTATTATTTATAAAGTTATTGAAGTTGCACGTCTTCTTGTTATTTTTATTTTATGTAATGAAATATATTTAATGCACGTTGGTATTATTTATATAAGTAATCAATTTAAAATATGTAAATAAATTTAAAATTAAATAGTGTATAAATAATGTACAAAATATACACATATATTTTTTAGAATTTAATTTTGTATACTAATTAAACAAGTTTGATTTAAAAAAAGCCATGAACTCAATCTCTTCTAATATTAGTATTTTTCTAATTTGCATTATAATGATTATTCTTATTATATATATAGATTAGAATTTTTGTGACACCAACCAAACTAAATATCACAACAACCAAGTAACAATTATGAAAAACCCATAACACAACAACTATCAATTAAATTTGGTAATAGAAAAATTACATACATATATATAAAAATATGAGGATTCTATATTTCTATTCACTGATGTATACAACACGTGTATATTTTGTTAAGGTGTATTGGAATGTTCAATTTAATGCAGTGGACTTTTTTGGATGCTAAATGTAGTAAATAGGATCCCCTTTTATATAAGTATAGATATATAGATATAGATATAGATACGTGGTCCTTTTCCCTTTTCTCCTTTAGGAAAAGTGTGCAAGTATTATTGATTTCTATTCAGACAAATAAAGATGAACTGGAATTTTCCTATCATCCTCACAAGTTATTTTCTATAATCTATATATAGTCTACGAAACATTTTTCAAATCATCATTGTTGTACCAAACTTTTTTATTTTCCAAGTAAGGTAATGCTTCTCATATGTAACATTTATTCTACAATTTTTATTTTATTCTACGATTTTCCAAGTAAGGTAATGCTTCTCATATGTACCAAAACAGTTCTGATTATCTGTTAAAATATTTAAATTTTGATAAATTGATGATTTTATTACTGTTTTCATTAATACATTGAAATTGGTACATATTCATCTTAGCATTAAGCCCAGAAGTTCATAGAAATATACCTATACAATATAATTCATTTTGTCTGATAAGAAAGGTTGGTAACATAAATAAATGCTACATCAACTACAACTGCTCATCTGTTGAAAGATCATTCACTCATAACATTTCATCTGTTGAGTGTGTTGGCTGGTCAGATCATTTATGCTGTAACTAGTAAATTGTCATTTTCTCATTTTTATACTAACAAGGTTTGGTTGTACAATGGAAATTGCAATCAAAATAACATATGTTTGTATTTTCCATGTATCCTTGATTTGTAATTGTTGGATCAATACACCCCACACTATTGCGTATTAAAAAAAAAAAAAATCGTAGTGAATACTAGGATCGAACTTATTACCGTCAGATTTATCACATGTCATTTTTACTAATATTTTTCACATGTGAGTTTTTTTCTTGTCCTTTTTCTTTCTTGTTTGGTACACAATCTATTATATTCTGCTAATTGCTGCTGAAATATCCTTTGTCAATCAGATTATTATCATTTACCACATTGTATGTTTCTACTGCTCAAAATAGCTCAACAAGTTCTATAATGTCATGATAGGAGTGGGCTGAGTGTTGTTGGATTAAACTTTTCATTGGGCCTGGGCTGAGGTTGCTTAACACAACTATCCTAAGCTCATAAATTCCTTGAGAAATGCTATAGGTATATAATATTATATATAAGAGTGTACATAACACTCACATTGAGTGGGACTGACCGAAAATAAAAAATCAAGTAGACTCCACTCCATGTGAGTGTTATGTACACATCTATGTACATTCATTATGTATTTGTACCATTTTTCAAATCCCTTTTATGCAAGATCTCTGGCTTTTGCAAGTCTATACTTATATAATAAGAATTAACATTTATCAAAATTAGTAAATTAATTAATGGTCAAAGTCAGTTTTACATTTATTACTTTCCAAAATCGGTAACTCTTATGTCCATTTCATACGCACAGCATTTATGTCCTGTTCACATGCCTTTTAAACTCATTAATTATACCAATTTAATTCTCATGAAATAACCCAAATTCACACGCGCGCACGCCTCATTAATAGCGTCCTTATCGCATAATTTTTTATGGTAACGACATAATCTCATTTCACACGAGCATCCTTATCACATATTTTTTTATGGTAACCCTTTTAAACATATTTTTTTAACGATAAATTGAAGAAAAAAAATCGTATTATAAAGAGAAGATATCTGGGATAATTTTAAGATTAAAACAAAATCTTATTATAAGGAGAAGATATTTCATACACCTTATCATTATTCAAAACTGATATTAAGTTTGTTATTCATTTCCTAAAACAAATACACGTGTTGAATTATCTATCATTATATAAAAAGAATGACCTTTTTACAAATTTAGAAACTTTTTCCCGCCAAAATCATTAAATATATCCTACATATAGTAATTGTTGGACAAATCTGAATAGGCAAATAAATTGCCTCATTAATTGTGTAAAAATTTGTTTCTCTTTTTCTTGTTTTTTAGTTTATCAAAAT